ATGTTTAGTAATTGGAACTCTTAAATGAATGTATGAATAGTATTATAGGTTAGTCAATTTGATGAATTTCTTAAAAATTAAATGTGCAAAACCAGCATATTTTAGTGGTTTGTCTGCTAGCATTATTATGATTTCATCATAAATGAGAGCAAATTGTTTTCAACAGAAATACAGGTCTCCTTTCTGTCCTTTGTACACATCAAGTATATTCCCATCACAGGGTTTTACACTTGTTTGCAACACTCTTCCCCCAAGTGGCTCCCTCTTCGTATCATTCACATCTCAGTTCAAATGTCACCTCCTCAGAGAAGCTTTCTGTGATCATACTTAAAGTAGCTTTCCTCCAACACATCATTCCACTTTATTTTTTCGTAGCACTTACTATTATCTGTTTCTACCAGCTAAATGTAACCTACACAAGAGCAAAGATTTTTTTCTATCTTGAGTTCACCATCATGAAAAGTGCTTGAAATAGAGTAGGTACTCCATAAATGTATGGAACAAATAAAATATATAATTTCCCAGTAAGTACAGAAAGTCATTTTACTCATGATTTAGAAAATACTAAAGACAGACCTGCATCAGATAGAAAAAATATGTATTCTAGAATTCTGAATCCCTTATTGGAGCCTTGTCTTTCCTCCAGTCGCGGGGACCTCACTGTGCTTCACACTGTACCCCTCCCACTACTGACTTGGGGACTCACTTGGCAACATCACTTTGTCTCCTACAGTAAGCCTAGCATTTTCTGGGGCCCAACCCTCATCTAGTTATGATACCTAAACATGAAACTAAGCCACAGTCACTTTATCCACAATCACAGCTAGTGTCATGGAGCCCTGGACTTTTTGCAGTCTTTCCTATGCCAAGGGCTAACCAAAAGCTAATTTCATCAAAGAAATTTTGTAATAGATGATTTATAAACTGTAGCATCACTTAATGATGAATAAACAACCTGTTTTCCAAAGCAAATTCTACTAAAAGTGAAAATTAAAACTATATGGGCTAGGCATGCTGGCTCACGCCTGTAATCCTAGCACTCTGGGAGGCCAAGGCGGTTGGATCACTCAAAGTCAGGAGTTCGAAACCAGCCTGAGCAAGAGAAGACCCCGTCTCTACCAAAATAGAAAGAAATTAATTGTTCTACTAAAAATATATAGAAAAAATTAGCCAGGCATGGTGGCATATTCCTGTAGTCCCAGCTACTTGGGAGGCTGAGGCAGTAGGATTACTTGGGCTCAGGAGTTTGAGGTTGCTATGAGCTAGGCTGATGGCACAGCACTTGCTCTAGCCTGGGCAACAAAGTGAGACTCTGTCTCAAAAAAAAAGAAAGAAAGAAAAGAAAAGAAAATTATAACTGTATGGATATTGTTGGCAAAAACCATTTATATACTATGTATTTCCATTTTTTTTATTTTTTTTTGAGACAGAGTCTCACTCTGTTGCCTGGGCTAGAGTGCCGTGGTGTCATCCGAGCTCACAGCAACCCCAAACTCCTGGGCTCAAGCGATCCTCCTGCCTCAGCCTCCTGAGTAGCTGGGACTACTGGCATGTGCCACCAAGCCCGGCTAATTTTTTGTATGTATTTTTAGTTGGCTAATTAATTTGTTTCCATTTTTAGTAGAGGTGGGGTCTCACTCTTGCTCAGGCTGGTTTCCAACTCCTGACCTCAAGCAATCCACCCGCCTCGGCCTCCCAGAGTGCTAGGATTATAGGCGTGAGCCACCATGCCTGGCCTGTATTTCCAATTTTTAAAAATTGGTATGCATTTACTCAGCAAACATTTCCTAAATATATATTTCATCCTGAATACTCAACTGCACGTTTTCAAAATACAGAAGCACGGTGGAAAATAAAGTTATTTTTCACAAAAACATGTGCAATTTATATTAACAAATGAGTTTATCATTGATATTTTAAATGAATCAATCAATAAACATTTTTAAATTTCTCTATTTTAATCTATTACAACAAACATCAATAGATATAACCCACATAAATAGAATCTCTTCAATAATTTTAAGGATATAAAGGGGTCCTCAGACCATAAACTAAAAACAGGAAAGGTTAGGAAGATGGTTTTGTGAGTATAGCATAACTATAAAAGGAAAGGACTGAATCTGAGATAATGTGTATTAAGGACAATTAACAGCCCTAAATACCTAAAGATTTGTGGTACTTCTCTCATTACATATTCAAAAAAAGCCAATACAAACCATAGAGTAAATGTAAAGAAATCAAACATATTTCTGAGATTTTCTCTTATTTCAATGATCTTTCTGAAATATCAAATAACAAAATTTTCCACCTACTGCATACATTTTTAGATACCTCAGCTTTGATGATACCCAAAAAGTGCTTATTCTATATACATGTTGGGCGAACAGGTTCCTTGCTACTCTAAGTGAGGTCCATTGACCAGCCACCATGGAAGCTTGCTAGAACTGCAGAAAGTCAGACCTCATCCCAGACCTACTAAATCAGAATCCACATTTAACAAGATTCTTGGGCCATGCATGGTGGCTCACGCCTGTAATCCTAGCACTCTGAGAGGCCGAGGCTGGCAGATCACTCGAGGTCAAGAGTTCAAAACCAGCCTGAGCAAGACTGAGACCCTGTCTCTACTAAAAATGGAAACAAGCAAACAAAAAAAGGAAACAAATTAATTGGCCAGCTAAAATATATACAAAAAAATTAGCCGGGCTTGGTGGCACATGCCAGTAGTCTCAGCTACTCAGGAGGCTGAGGCAGAAGGATTGCTTGAGCCTAGGAGTTTGAGGTTGCTGTGAGCTAGGCTGATGCCACCACACTCTACCCCAGGCAACACAGTGAGACTCTGCCTCAAAAAAAAAAATTTTTTTTTTTTAAATAACAAGATTCTCCAGATGATTTTTATATAGAGTGAACTCTGAGAAACACTGAACTAATACAGATGCTAAGGAATTATTTATTAATAAATGTTAGATTAACAGAAGAAAGTTCAAAGGACTAATAGGATGGATGGTGATGATAAAGTTAGGAAATGACCCTTCTTTAATATTGAATTCAATTCTCTGGCACATGAAATTGATATTTTATTTGTGATACAACATAAGAAAGTAAACAAAGATATATTCTCTAACTACACAAAATGCATACAACATAATGGATAGATTTTCATCATCTATGTAATGCATTTTTAGAATATATGCTTACATTATTAACTATATTAAAAGTTCATTAGAGAACTTCTGCTTTCTGCTATATGGAATAACAGGAACCAGACTTAATCTGCTGTCTTAATAACTAGAAAACTGGACAAAATATAAAACCAACTGTTTTGAGATACTGGACAACACATATCACAGGACTATCATTCCTGAGAGAAGAGAATCAAATGAAGAGAGCCCTAAAACTGCCACAGCTTTTGGCCTACAGGCACATTACAGACTGCAGAAAAGGAAAGAGGATTTCAAGTCAATCACAGTGGCCCTGCTAAGTTGAGGTATTAAAGGGTGGTGTTCTGAGAGTTTGAAGCAACTGGAAGTTGCAGGGCAAGATAAGTGGTAGACAGAAAAATAGCTCCAGAAACGTTCATAGGTCTCCTGGACTCTTTGCTGAACACTATGATTAGCAGACACAGTATGATTCCACATATGGTTGCACAAAGAGGAAGCGTGCAACTATGAGCTGGATGGTTCCCAGAGCTCACATATAACTGGATGTGACAAGGATGGACAAGACAAGAATGCCCACATTTGCCACTTATATGCAACATAGGACTGGAAATCCTAGCTAGAGCAATTAGACAAGGAAAAGAAATGACAGGCATCCAAACAAGAAAGGAAAAAGAAAACAGGGGAGAAGCTCCGTGACATTGGTCTTGGAAATGATTTTCTGGATGTGATACCAAAAGCATAAGCAACACAAGCAAAAACAGACAAATGAGATTATATCAAACTAAACTTCTGTACAGCAAAGGAAACAATTAAAAAAAAAAGAAAAGGCAACCCAAAGGATGGAAGAAAATAGTGAACCATATATCTGATAAGGAATTAATATGCAAAGTATACAAGGAACTCATACAACTCAACAGCAAAAATAACAAATATTAATAGCTGTATTTAAAATGGGCAGAAGACCTGAATAGCCATTTTCCCAAAAACATATAAATGGCCAAGAGAAGAAAATCGAATGAAGAGAGCCCTAAAACTGCCACAGCTTTTGAAAGCTGTGCTTAAGGAAAAGGTGCTTAATACCAGTAATCTCAGAGAAATGTAAATCAAAACCACAATAAGATACCACCCCACATCACATATTAGGATGGCTATTATCAAAAAGTCAAAAGATAAGTGTTGGTGAGAATGTGGAAAATGGGAAACCCTTATATGTCGTTGGTGATAATGTAAAATTGGTACAGCCATTATGGAAAACAGTTTGCAGGTTCCTCAAAAAAGGAAAAATAGAATTACCATACAATCCAGCAATCCTACTTCTAGGTATATATACAAAGGAAATATTAATAAAATCAGTATGTTGAAAAGATATCTGCACTCCCATGTTCATTACAGCATGGTTCATAATAGTAAACAATGTGGAATGTGGAAACCATCTAAGTGTCCATCAGTAAATGAATGTAAAGAAAATGTGTGTGTGTGTGTGTGTGTGTGTGTGTATAAAATGGGATATTATTCAGCCTTTAAAAAGGAAATCCTGCCATTTGCAAGAATACAGATGAACCTAAAAGACATGCTAAGTGAAATAAGCCAGATACACAAAGACAAACTGCATGGTCTCACTTATATGTGGAATCTAAAAAATCAAAATCACAGGAGAAGGAAGATGATGGTGATTACCAGGGGAAGAGGGGCATACAGATATTGGTCAAAGGGTACAATCTTGTAGTTATAAGAAGAATAAGTTCTGGAGACCTAATGTACAGCATGGTGACTATAGTTAATAATACTGAATAGCACACTTCAAATTTGTTAAGAGTAGATCTTAAGTATTCTCACACACACACACACAAAAGAAAGGAAGAAAGCAAAAGGTAACTATGTGAGGTGATGGATATATTAATAAGCTTTATTGTGGCAATAATTTCAACATGTATACATATATCAGAACACCACATTATACACCTTGAGTATATATAATTTTTGTCAACTATATCTCAACAAAGCTGGAAAACAATCCTGGTGATGGTTGACAATTATGTAAATTTGCTCAAAACTATTGAGGTATATAATTAAAATGGGTGATTTTTAAATATTTATTTTATTTTTAGTTTATTTCAGAGTATTATGGGGGTACAAATGCTTTGGTTACATAAATTGCCTTTGGACCACCCAAAAAGTGTGCTCATCCCTCAGACAGCATGCAAAATGGGTGATTTTGAGATATATAAATCATACCTCAATGAAGTTGTTTAAAAAACGTACACCTGAAAAAAAAGAACTACATAAAACAATATGCATATATTGTAACATATAGCAATGTAACATATGTTATAATAATAACAGTACAAAGGAGGTATGTAGGAACAAAGCTGTATTAGGTGAAAACAATTACTCCAGATGGTAACTTGAATCCACAAGAACAAGAAATGAACAGAATCCAAAATGATAAATAAGATTAATATAACAAAAGCTAGAATTATATACTTGTCTTTGTTCTTTTATTTTCTTTAAAAGACATAAATAATTATAACAATGTATTGTTGGATTTATAACATCTGTAGATATAATATGTACAATAATACCATAAAAAGGAAATAGAATAAAACTATATTGAAGTAAGGTTTCTATATCTAATTGGAATTTAGTATAAATCTGAAGCTGATTCTAGTAACTTAAAATGTACAATATATGGTAAGCCTTAGAGCAACCAGCAAGGTTGGTCAAAAAATTAAAAAAAAAATCACTAAAAAATTTAATATGCCACATTAGAAAATATTCATTGGATGCAAAAGAAAGTAGTAAAAGACGGATAGAGAAAGAAAAAGACATAAGACAGAGAAAACAAAAATAAGACTACATAAATCCAACTATATCAATAATAACATTAAAACGTGAATGGGTAACAATTGAATCAAAAGGCAGAAATTGTCAGACTTGATTGAAAAAAAAAAGATCTAACAAGATGATGTCTACAGAAGACACACTTTAGATTCAATGGCGCAAACCATGCAAACAGCAACCACAAGAAAGCTGGAATGGTTGCATAAATATCAGACAAAATAGACTTTACAATAAAAAGTTACTAGAAGACAAACATGTATAAGCATATATGCATCTAAAAACAAAGAATGCATGTAGAAAAAACTTACCAAAGAGACAAACTGACATCTCAACAATAGTTGAAGTCTTTAAGACCCCACTTCCAATTAGACATTTAGTAGATTCTGCAACACATAACATGAAAACTCTTCAGTTTTTCTCCCCCTAAAATCTACTCCTCCTTCAGTCTCTTTCCCTTAAGTTGCAACTGCATCTGTCCAATTGCTCAAGCCAAAAACTTTCTCTGGTGCCCCACATAAAATCAATCAGTGAATCCTATAACTTCTCCCCTCAAAATATATCCAGAATCCACTTTTCCAATTTACACCTTGATCTAAGCCGCCACCATGTCTCACAGGGATTACTGAAATAGTCTCCTAATCAGGCTCCATCTTTTATACACTGGTCTCCTACAGTCTGTCTCCATACAGCAGCCAAGTGAACCTTCCAAAACAAATTAAATCACATCACTCCTTAACCTCAACTGACTTCATCCAGTAATTTTATTTATTTATTTATTTATTTTTTAACAGATTCTCACTCTGTTGCCCAGGCTAGAGTGAGTGCTGTGGCGTCTGCCTAGCTCACAGCAACCTCAATCTCCTGGGCTCAAGCAATGCTGCTGCCTCAGCCTCCCAAGTAGCTGGGACTACAGGGATGTGCCACCATGCCCGACTCATTTTTTCTATATATTTTTAGTTGGCCAATTAATTTCTTTCTATTTATAGTAGAGACGGGGTCTTGCTCTTGCTCAGGCTGGTTTAGAACTCCTGACCTTGAGCGATCCGCCCGCCTACGCCTCCCAGAGTGCTAGGATTACAGGTGTGAGCCACCAGGCCGGCCATCCAGTAAATTTTTAATGAAATCCAAATCCTACAATCTCCCTTTCCTGCTTTATTTCCTACTCTCTTAATCAGTCTACTCTCCTTACACTGGCCTCTTTACTGTCCTCAGCAAGTTATTAAACGGAATTTAGAAAATAATCCTATTTTTTAAAAAAATCACATTTATATGCATCAAAAGTAAGAAAGGATAGCCCAAAATGTGAATAATAATTACCTATGGGCAGTAGGATTATAGGCAATTTTTTTATTATTTTTTTAAGGCAGATTCATAAGAGAAAGGGTTTATTTGCCATGTGCATGGGGAGAATCACACAGTGATTACCCCAATTTTTTTATTATTAAAAACATTTCTAATTCATGTGTTACTTATGCAATAAAATATTTTATCAAACTGTTTATCAAACCCCTCACACGCAATGTGGTAATAGTAGTTAACCACATGCAAAATCTGGAAATATATCATGTGTACTACCAAAAAATCCTAACAAAAGAAAGAAACAAACAAAAACTTGCTTATAGTAATAACTACCATTTATGCTCCAGGCACTTTCACTCGTTATTTCATTTAATTCTCATAATAGCTTGATGCGATGAGAACTATTATTCCCATGTTTCTGGTATGTAAAGTAAGGCTCAACAAAGTTAAATAAATTGCTTGAAATTGTACAGTAAGTAGTCAAGTCCAGGTCTCTCTGACTTGAATACTCACGTTCTGAATACTAGCTACTGCCTCATCACACACTAGTTCTCCTCTACAATAGCGCAAAACTGAAATGCCCTAAAAACCCAGTAACAAGGCCGGGCGCTGTGGCTCACGCCTGTAATCCTAGCTCTTGGGAGGCCGAGGCGGGCGGATGAGGTCAGGAGTTCAAAACCAGCCTGAGCAAGAGCGAGACCCCGTCTCTACTATAAACAGAAAGAAATTAATTGGCCAACTGATATATATATAAAAAAAAAAAATTAGCCGGGCATAGTGGCACATGCCTGTAGTCCCAGCTACCCGGGAGGCTGAGGCAGAAGGATCACTCGAGCCCAGGAGTGTGAGGTTGCTGTGAGCCAGGCTGACGCCACAGCACTCACTCTAGCCTGGGCAACAAAGCGAGACTCTGTCTAAAAAAAAAAAAAAAAAACCCAGTAACAAGAAAACGGAATAACATAGTTATGAAAGTGTTTATTCAAACTAGAATTATGTAAAAATTGAGACATGTTACATGAAAAATTGAACTATCACATTCTATACATGAAGAAAATTTACTATTTCCTGTGGAAAAGGCCAGAATAAGCTGGTATGTTAAAGCCGGTAATTTAGTGTGGGTAATGGAACTCTAGGTGGTTTTCATTTTCTTTTCCTTTGTTGTATTTTCTTGATTTTCATAAACACAAATTTCTTTGAAACTAAACACTAAATCAGTTCCATAAAAAAAAGTTTGTGTTTGCTTGGGGACACATTGCTCAGGCCAGTGTGTTCCGGAACACCAAATTCTAAGCCAAGGTTTAAACTGGATAGAGCCTCACAAAGGCGACCTACGTCCTTTTAACTGACATCTGGCGACTCTGCATGGGCCAGTAATTTTCTTCAAAGGAATGTATGATACTCTCTTACTTTTGTTTGTAGCCTAGATTATAATGAGCCTATTAAAGGCTTATTGGCAATGAAGATGGCAGTGTGGTTTAGAAGATGTAAATTTAATCCCTCAGCACAAAAGGAACACAATTCAAAAATATTTTCCAACTGCTTTGGGGATGTGTACGTTGCCTGGAATTAATAATACTTAAAAGGAAGCAAGCAAAGACCGCAATAGAAAATGGAAGCGTTCAAAAATGCATGCTTATCCCCAGAACCTTGTTTCCGGGCCAGTAAACTTTTTGTGTCGCTGCGCCGCGGCGGCCGCCGAGGGAAGTGGTTTCCTCTGTCCCCGCGGCAAGCAGGGCCGACCTGGGCGCTACCCAGCGCGCTCTCCGCCGGTCCGACAAATGCGCCAGGCAAGCGGGCGCGGCGACGCGGGCCCCCGGCCGGGAACCCGCAGCCCGGGCTCCCGCACCTACCCAGTCCTCGAGCCGCCCGACACGGGGCCTCGCCCCGGAAAACCGCCTCGCCGGAATGGCAGCAACGGCGCCGCCGCCGGCAGGGGCTGAGGAGACGGGCTTGGGGTTCAGGGCCCCGGGGAGGACACACCCTGGCAGGCAGTGGGGCGCGGCAGCACCCGCGGGAAGAAGCAGGTGGCGCTCAGCCCGAGCTGGCGCCTCCAGGGCGTGGACAGAGCGTACTGCGGGCCCCACCTCGCCACCGAAGGGCCCACGCCTGCCCCGCCAACGCGCCCCCCCCAGGACGCAAATACGCATGCGCCGCCCAAGCCGCCCCTGGGAAGCGTGCGCTCGGCGAGGCCCCGCCCCCTCGAGGACGTCCGGGGGACGGCTTCTACTCCTGAGCTGTCCCTTCCCCGTCCTTCCCTTAAACTGCGGCTGCCCCAGAAGGCTATCAGTAGTAAAGGTTCCCGAGTCTTAGGAGAAAGAGTAGTAAGACTGAAATGTTAGGTATAAATTTATTGCTGCATAAACGTTTGCTGAATGAATAAACTGGTAAGTGGATACTTTAGTTTTAACTCTGCCTTTAGAAAGCCCCACTCTTTCAAAAACTACAACTGCAACATAGTTTGGATATATCCTTGACAAATCTTATTTTAGTCCTAACTGGTAGTACTGTGCACACTCAAGATAGGAGCCTAGGCCTACTGCAAAATAAGGCATTTACTTATAATGGGCCTCTGAAACGAGGAAAATAAGACATTTTTGAATTCAAACCTAGTGTTCTTCCCATTACGTTTACTCAACAAACATTTGAATGCCATAAAGCTGTGAGGGTGGGTGCTCAATAAGCAGATGTTAAAATTATATTTCTGTGAGAAGCAGCCTGATAAGAACACAGACTTGAGTCAGATTTTGGTTCAAAATCTGCTTGGGACTTGGGAACCCAGTTGTCATAAGCAAGTTACTTTATCACTTAGTGTAGTTTCTTCAGTGTCAGTGTAAAATGTAATAGTGCCTGACCCAGTCTTCTTTTGCCTTCAAATATATTATTCCACTTTATTGCCAAGATGAGATCTCTTACAGGTTTATATACTACATACACTGTCAGGTTTAAAGTTACTTATTTAAAAATAGTTTATTTTTTAAAAAACGTATTTGAGCTATTCTTGGCACAGTGACACACAGCCTTGCCTTCATGTGTGGGCAAGGGGAACAGAGGATATAATAATTAACTGTAAATACAAGGCTGAAGTTGTAATATGTTTGAAAAGATATATTAGGGATGAGAACCTTGAGGTGGGAACAGTTAGAACTCAAATCCCAAATTATACACCATTAGTGCATAAATATATGGCTGAAAATAAAAACTCTTTTTGACATGTTTCTGAAAACTTTTTCTTGTGAAAGAGATCTGAGTTATACCTGAATCTGATTGTTAAGGGGAGAAATCCTTCATGAAGAAAAGTACCTTTAAGGACCAAAGAAATGCTACAATGGGGGTTGGTTGGGGTTTGTCTACAAAAGGTAATAATTATCTAAGGATTACTTTGATATTCCATGTTATTAATAGAGTCTGTAAGGAGAAAAGCTTAATATTTTAATACGTTTAGAATTCAGTCAGCCTGGGACTATTTTGTAAGAATATTTGAAACTCTTCTCTGGAAATCAAGACCTATATAAGGAGACCACAGATTCCGAACCTGTATTTCTAGGACAAACCCAAACTCAGTTTCACCCTGCTTTTGGGTTCCAGAGTGCAAAGATATATATATATATAATTTTTTTTATTTAGCGGAACGTAAGAAACTCCTTGGTACTGAGAGCCCTCCAAGAGCCAGTAAATGTTTTCCCTTACAATATTTCATTTAATCCGATTACTGTAAGAGTTATTATAGAAAAGCAAAGTTTCATAAAGTAACTTGGACAAAAAAGTTACTTAAAAGTTCAATTTACAGAAACAATGAACCTAACGATTCCTGAATCATGTTATCCCTGGACTATGCAAAAGTTTAAAAGATGTTCAAAGGTTTCAAATAAATGTACAGCAGTTTCATATTAAAAGACATTTGAGCTCGAGGTACAGCCATAACTTTTTTTTTTTTGAGGCAGAGTCTCACTGTGTTGCCCTGGCTAGAGTGCCGTGGCGTCAGCCTAGCTCATAGCAACCTCAAACTCCTGGGCTCAAGCAATCCTCCTGCCTCAGCCTCCCGAGTAGCTGGGACTACAGGCATGCACCACCATGCCTGGCTAATTTTTTCTGTGTATTTTTAGTTGGCCAATTAATTTCTTTCTACTTTTATTAGAGACGGGGTCTCGCTCTTGCTCAGGCTGGTTTCGAACTCCTGACCTTGAGCGACCGCCCGCCTCGGCCTCCCAGAGTGCTAGGATTACAGGTGTGAGCCACCACGCGCGGCCTCAATACTCTTAAATATTCTTCTGCACCTTCCCTTAATGCCACTTGAACTATCTAATACGGTGGTTAAGTATTTACTGTGTCTCTAACACTGTCCAGGAGTAAAATCATCATTTCCTTTGCCCTAGTTTAAGGGAATTTTACCCAACATCTGGTCGCCATAACGAACTAGTCCTCGAAAGTGCCCACTCCCTTTGCTCCCCTCTGCAGCAGGTTTCCAGGACTAATCCACCGGTTCTAGCATTAACCAGTGCGTTCTAAGCCCGGCAAGTCCCCGGCCCGTGACCCTTAGCAGGTCCCGCCCCATGGCCCCGGAAGTTGCGTTACGACGCTCTGCGCCCCGTCCCCGGATGTAGGGTCTTGTATCCGGATTCTTAGCGCGGACTCAGAACTCCGCTCTTGCCTTCGCGGTTAGCACATGCGCGGCAGCTCTTTTCCTTCTTCCTTCACTTCCACTAGCTTCCGCCGTCCCGGGAGCCTCCGCCGCCGCCGCTGAGGAGTCAGGAAGTTCAAGATGGCCGCCACGGAGACTCAGTCGCTGCGGGAACAGCCAGAGTAAGTAGTCTCTGTGAGTGGGCTGCAGGCTGGAGCCCGGGATGTCGAGCTGGAAACGGCGGAGACCTGCACGGGCGGGCGGGAAAGTTCAGGCCTAAGGGCAAGAGTCAAACTTTGCCTTTCCCCGCTCGGTACGTTATGGGGCGGGAGGCGTGGGGAGCAGGCGGGCGGCCTTCGAGCTTCGCTCTCCAAGAGGCCGCGGCTGTTGGGGCGAAGGCAGCCGCGGCCTGCCGCGCGTCGTTGCCCCGGGAGGCGTAGGAGCGAGCGGCCTCTACAGGTCCAGTGCGCGTGGCGGCTGCCGCGGCAGTGAAATCGCGCCTTCCTTCCCTCGGAGACCAAGCGAAGCTCCCTAGCCGCGGAACATAGCGGTATCGGTGTTGGGGACATGAGGGTCATTGGTGCCAGGTGGGGCAAACCTGAAGTCTAGTCTTCGTCACGCAGTATCCCTGGTCGTTCTGCTACTAGTGTCAGCTTTAGGACCTGAAAGCAGAGAGGTGAAGGGGTGGTAGGGTCACACACTCTTGGACCATCCCAGAGGTAGTCTGTGGCTAGTGGAATACTTCATTTTCCCACCTGGTACTCTTCACTCCAGCAGTCACCCGGCTTTTTTTTTTCTTTCTGTTTTTTTTTCCCTCCTGCCTATTGGCAGCTTATTTACCAACTTGCAAACTTGAGGCAAAGTAAGATAGAGTGCTTGGTTTTGAGGCCTGGCATTTTTGGCTTGCGTTTATAGCCCTTCTTTAGGAGGGCGAGTGGAAGAAGTAGTGGGAATTGCTAGCTACTGCCAAACCACTGTATGTCTGTAATTAAGCTAATATAGGAGCCCATGCAGCCAAGTGGAAACATACTTGCATATGCTGCAAGGGTTAACCGTTGCTTAACTGAAAGCAGTATTTTGTTTTTCATGTTTATGCTAGGAAAACTCAAACAAGAACCTAAAAAAGAGAATGGATTTTGAAACAGTATTCCTCTGGTAACCATATGCATTATCTTGCTTGTTTCCAGCCATCTTAGGAAAGAGGTATAGTCTCCCAGCAACTGGTGACTGAGAAACAGGAAAAATTTTTGCCACCAGCCAACCTGACACTTCATTGTTGTGCATCCAATTCTGGGCTCCTCATTCATCTGCTTGGCTCAGCTAGGCAGAGAATTATACCAAATTTTTCATTAAGGGCTTTTCAAAGCTGCTTCATTATTTTCAGTTTGACTTAGCAGAAAACAAATGGGTTTTAAAGTTTGAAGCTAGATTTAGCCTCTTTTTGTTTCTCCGCAAGTTCACAATGTGACAGTTACAGTATGTATGCCAACACAGTACAAATCTCATGCTATACAGCTAAATATTCTACTAATCTGGAAAGTTCTGTAGCATTATGTCCATTTATTTGGTTTTTAGGGATGGTTCAGATTTGTTTTGAGGAGTGGGTCAGCCATATTTTATTCATATACATATTCCAATAATACTAGATTTATTAATAATGTATATATATTAGGCCCCTGCAGTATAAATAACACTGAGATAACATTAACTTCCTCCCCCCCACAGAACATTTAGTGTAAATAGAATATTTTGTTTGTATATGTGCCACGTTCACTAATTTGAAAATATTTAAAAAAATAAGTTTGACGTGAAAGCAAGTATTGTGCATGCTGCTCATGATGACTGCCCAAATATAGTGTCTAGAATAGTTCTTTAGGGATAATAAGTAATTTACAGTTATGTGGAATCTATTCAAAATAAAAAATTTAGAATAAATATAAAACATTTTTAAGCTTCCAGGAGGCTTTAATTCTAATAACAGTCCTGTAGAGGTAGATTCTGTTATTTTTACATTATTTACAGATGATGAAACTGAAACAGAGAAATTAAGTAACTTGCCCAAGGTTACACTAAGTGGCAACACATTTAAACTCAGGCAGTTTGATTCTAATGCCCTGCTCTAACTATTGTGCTGTTTGGCCTCCCACTATACATTGCAGCTTTTTAAAAAATTGCCTTTAAAGTTTGAAATCATTTTTATTTCCTTACACTGTCTCTCAGAAAGAACCATTTTTGATGTGACATCTCTGATTTGTTAAAACTTAATTTCCCAAACCTGATTTGGAAAAGATGTGGCCAGAGGGGAGGTTTGTTTTAAGACTAGTCTTTTGAACCTGTTATAATTTTTACATCTACATTAATTCTGTATTGAAAGTATTTTAAAGGCGGATGTGGTGACATGCGCCTGTAGCTTGAGCCCAGCAGTTAGAATCCAGCCTGAGCAACACAGTAAATCCTTGTCTCCCTAAAAAAAAAAGAGAAAGAAAGAAAGAAAAGAAAAGAAAAAGAAGCAGTGGCTTTCACTTAACTTAGCTCACCACTAAAAAAATTTTTTTAAGAA